CAAATGTTGGTCATTTTTAAATAAATCTGATTCCAGATTAGTCCACAATAGTGTAACTTTCATTCATTTGCATTCAGAAATGTTTTCTTGAGAGGGCAAAGGGATGGAAATATAGCTAGCACATTGGGAATTGCACATAATCCATGCAAATATGCAGTGTTTGTAAACATAATCCTACAATGCCCAAACACTGTCAATCCCTGAGTCTTCAATTTTCACTCAGTAAGAGCTTCCCATGGTCTTACTTCCTGCTCTTTACAGATTATACTTTCATGGGTGAATAGGCAAACTAGATTAAAATGAGCATATTGGCCCCTGTTGTGCTATTATCCAACTCTGATTCACCTGCATTCCCTACCATCTCTGCTCCAATCCTCTGCTATAGAAAATCCACTAAGTGCATGTACTGGTGCTGAAGTACCACAAAGTCATGGTCTTCGTAGAGGACTTGATAGATTGGTACTCATCTATTTCAATCTCTCTTTTAATGTGCTTTCCCCCATATTACAAAAATGGAAAAGCTGTAACAACAGAAACACAGGAGCAAACTATATTTGCCAGACTCCTCTGCAGCTCTATTTGGAAGATGCAAATGAGGCAGGGGCCCTTTCCCCCTGCTTTGGCTGTTGTTGCTGCCAAGCATATTCTTGGAAACACTGGGCTCTTCTGCAACAGGATCCCTAAGTCATTCACTAGTTTTATGGGATATGGTTTTATATCTAGCCAGCCCCCAAGATAGCGCCTAATGATTTTTGTCTCCTAGTATTCAATCCTGCGTAGTCCACTTTCACAGTAAGGTCTGACTGTGTGACTAACAGAATACTACAGAATTGATTGTATGTGACTTCTGAGGCCAGGTCATAAAAGACATTGCTGCTGCTTCACTCTGGGGGCAGCCGGCCATCATGTAGAGTCGACATTCACACAACCTATGGAGAGCCCCACATGGAAGAGGACCTGAAGTTTCCTCCAGCCATCTTGGAGGTGGGTCTCTAGCCCCAGTCAAGCCCACAGATGACTGCATCCCCAGCCAAGATCTGATTGAATTCCATGAAATTCCAGAGCCAGACTGCATAACCAAAGCACTTGAAAATTTCTGACCAACAGAAACTTCAAAAGATAATCAATGTTTATTGTGGATTTAAGCCACAAGAATAAGCAAATCTCTATTGTTGTTTTTAGATTTTGGGTAACTTGTTAAGCGGCAATAGATAATTAACACATGGGTTTGAGAGTTTGGGCAGTAGCTGTGCACTTGGAGCTAAATCCCAGTTTTCTATTTTACCGCTTTCTCAACTGGGGCAGAGATAGCAGGTCCCTATCAGGCCTATTTGGTCACTTTGTACTGAGAGGCATTTTTGATCACCCAGCCTAGTGCCCACTCCTCCAGTCCTCCCAATAACTTTATAAGCACACATTCTCAGTATTATAAACGTTTCTGCTTAAAATAGCCAGATTGGTTTCTCTTTCCTGCAGCTGAGCTTAACCTAATAAAAAATACCCATCTGAAATTAACAGTGAGACACTAGAGACATTTCTGTTAAAGTTAGAAATAAGACAAGGAAGTTGGCTATCGACAGTATTATTTAACATCAAGGTGGAAGTATTTCATTGTATAATAAGGTGATATAATTGTCTACCAGGAAAATTTGAACAAATAAGCTGAAAATAAAAACTATTAAGAAAGTTCAGTGAGATAGTCAGTAAAAAATTTAACAAAAAAGATCAAAAGCTTTCCTATGCAGCACCAATAACCATTTAGAAAATATAAAGGAAGAAATAATCCAGTCCAGTAGCAAAAAATGCATAAGATAACTTGGAAAAATAAACTAATCAATTTAATGCAATTTCCATGAGAATTCCAGCTATTTTTGAACTTGGAAAATTTTATGACGTTATCTGGAAGGTTCTTTCTTTATTCTTCTAGATACCATAGGTCATATTTATTTTTGCCCCTTGCAGAATTGTTGTCTTTTAGTTGAGATTTGTGTTATGCCTTCCGCTGAAACTGGAGACCTTCTTCATTTATTCATTCAGCAATATTTATTGAAGCCTAAGCTGTGGTAGGTACTGTTCTGGATATCTGGGATTTATCAGTGTCCAACTTTCCTGGCACTTGCTTTCAATCTAAGAAACAACCATATAAACAGCTATTCGTTGAGGCTATTTGCTACTTTATTCAGTATCCCAAAGAGAAGTTTCTTAAGACCTAAGAACTGGAAAAATGGCTAAGGAATTCATATAAAGTTTACTCATGAGCAAACAAAGGAAAGTTTCTCCTTTTGATTTGCCAGGGAAGCTTAGTCTATTGTTAGCTCAACTTGAGTAACTGTAAGATTTTTATGTCTATCCTATTCCAATACAAACTTCCCCCCCTTTTGGAACTCCTTATCTTCCTATTTCACCTATATTTTCACTGATCTTGCTTTTCAAAAATTTGAATTTTTTTGTTTCATTGTATTCTAATGTACTTGTGTACTGCTTCAATACCTTGTGGGATTAGAGGAACAAGATAACATCAAGAAGCAGCAGAGATATCCAGAATGTGGTGCATTTTTTAAGACAACTGCCCTGTCTCTTCAAAAAGCTAATATTAAGAAAAGCTATAAAATAGAAGGGACTATTTTTAGACTGAGAAATGGAAAAAAAAACTTTACAAAAACATAACCAAATGCAGTAAGTGACCTTTGATTGGATCCTGGCTCAAGAGAGTATCCACTATAAAAGACTATTTTGAGGAAAGCTGAGGAAATTTGAATATGGCATGGATAATAGATAATATTAGTAAATGATTGTTGATTTTCTCAAGACCTGATAATAGTGTCATGATTATGAAAGAGAATGTTCTTATTCTTAGAGATACATACTTAAGTATGTTGGGGTGATGTGTCTTGTCTGCAACTTTGGGATGATTCAGCAAAAAAATTATATTTTATAAACGTTTATGAGCAAATAAAGCATATATGGCAAATGTTAATTGTTGAATTGTTGAGTCTGGATATTGGATAGTATTGCTAAATCAGTGTGGATACTGTACTATTCTTTCACATATTCTGTGAAATATTTGGAAATTTTTAACGTTGATATATAACTTCTTATTATGCACAGATAAAAGATATAAAACTGTGGTTATTAAAAACATTAGAATACTTCAGTGAAGCTATTTCCTATACAGTAAAGCTTCTCAGAAAGAGACTGATACTTTAATTTTCTATGGGGATTCAATTTAGAGACCCTATTATTATGGTCCGACTATCACTAGAACCACTAGAGGTGTTTGCTAGAATTTTGACATCCAACATTACACAGACCTACAGACCAATCTTTGGGTAATTTACATATTCATTATTCCCTGAGTAGTATTTTCATAGACCTGATTTTGGGAATCATTATCTTAGATTTCATATTTTGCATTTACACTTCCTAACATATTCTTCTCAAAGGGCAATTTTTTTTTTTAAGATTTTATTTTATTTATTTGTCAGAGAGAGAGAGGGCGAGCGAGCACAAGCAGGGGAGGGGCAGGCAGGAGGAAGAAGCAGGCTCCCTGCTGAGCAAGGAGCCTGATCCCAGGACCCTGGGATCTTGACCTGAGCTGAATGATGGCAGCCGATTAACTGAGCCACCAAGGTGTCCCTCAAATGGCAGTTTTCTTATACAAGCCATTAGAAATTGTCATATGTACTATTGTGGTTAAATTCGGAAAATATGCTTCAAATATTTTAAAAATGAATCAATAAAACCATATGTTAAAACCATTTCAAGGAATTATATACTCTACCTGATAGAGATGTATTTCTCGTTATCTTTTAGTATGGAGAGATACCACAGCATTGTCACAAGAATGTATATGTAGATTTGAGGGGGAAAAAAACTTTTGAAATTCCTAAAGAACTTGGAAGAAATCTAGTTGAAACCCCAGAGTTCTAAGGAGAAAAGTTTGCCTCTATAATGTAGTCCATTTCAATATCTATTTTTTAAATTAGAATTTGTTTTATGATTTCAAGTAAAGTCGATGCCAAAGAAAATATCCTGAAACATTGACCAGAATAAATAAAATATAAAATGTAAAAAAAATAAAAATTAGAAAACCTGTGGTTATCAAAACTAAGCACGCTCATAAAACGGCCAACACAACAGAGAAAAGAATACAACAGGGTTGTTTAACCTGGCCACAGAGATTTTTACCCCAATATATGAAAAACAGCAACAAAATCGGGCTCATTCAGGAAAAAACAGAAAATATTATATTTGGAAACTGGCAATAGTCCTTTCCAGAAAAAACATGTCAGTTTCGTGAACCCCCAAGATAAAACAAACAGGAAAAAAGTCACACACACGATTCACTCAACAAAACGTCCTCTGTTAACACAACCAGCAGTACAACCATCACTCACACCGTGAGGTAGTGGCAGTACAAAAAGACCGGCACGCATGTGCGCACCCACACATGCTCACGATCACGCCCACTACAGAACACACACAGAAAATGGTTTTGCAATCTTATTACAGACAAGGGCAAGACCATTTTTTGTTGTTGTTGTTGTTTAGAAAATGCATAGAAACGGCTGAGACATTTTAATAAAATTATAAAAACTTGGAAAATTAAATTATATATGAATGACTTACTTATGTACCTCTTTTTTTTTCTAGCACGCTCTGTTTGAGTGAAAGGATCTTGCGTTACAAACGGAAGGGGAAAGGAGCAATTTCAAGGGGTATCTGGTCGCCAGTCGTAAAATTCCAGGGAAATACAGGATAACTTGATTATTCATAAATTTGGTATTTAAAAGATCAATTCTGTGAGTGGTTTCACTTGAAGTGGAAGCCTGAATACGGAGGCGTGAGAAGAGAGGGCGGAGAGAGTAGACCGTCTCAGTAAATTCAGGATTTGTTGTTATTTTTTGCCGCTTGCGGACTATGACATCACTGGCAATCTGAAATTACTCCCATTCCAGACCTCACTGAACTCTCGCGATACTGGAGCCCAGTGGAGCGCGAAACGCCGTGGGAGGGGCTGGGGTGAGATCAACTGACTTCCGGCCAGGCCGTTGTCTGGGTGGCGCGGTCGAGTCATCGCTGGGCCTCGCCGCTTGGGTTTCCCATCCCTCCCCCCGCCCCGGCGCGGGGGGTCGACCAGCCAAGTGGGGCGGGAGGCGACCCGGACGTTCCACTCCGTTTCGCTCTGGCCAGCTCCCTGGCCCCCCGCGCTGGGGTCTGGGGTCCTTGGGGCCCGCGAGGCCCGGTCTGAGGGGCCGGGGCCTACGTGGGCCTGCCGCTGGGCTCCATGAGGCATAGCCTGACGAAACTGCTGGCGGCCTCGGGCAGCGACTCCCCAACCCGCAGCGAGAGCCCGGCTCCGGCCGCGACCTGCTTGCTGACCCCGGACCTGACCCGGGCGGCGGCGGCGGCGGCGGCGGCGGCGGCGGCGGCGGCTGCGGCGGAGGAGGAAGAGACGGCGGCGGCCGGATCTCCCGGCCGCAAACAGCCGCGCGGCGACGAGGGCGAGTTGGAGGCCGGGAGGGGGGGCCGCGGCGGCGTGGCCGTGCGCGCGCCCTCGCCCGAGGAGATGGAGGAGGAGGCGATCGCCAGCGTCCCCGGGGAGGAGACGGAGGACATGGACTTTCTGTCTGGGCTGGAACTGGCAGATCTGCTGGACCCCCGGCAACCGGACTGGCACCTGGAGCCCGGGCTCAGCTCGCCTGGGCCTCTCTCCTCGTCCGGCGGAGGCTCGGATAGCGGCGGCTTGTGGAGAGGGGACGACGACGACGAGGCCGCGGCTGCCGAGATGCAGCGGTTTTCTGACCTGCTGCAGAGGCTGTTAAACGGCATCGGAGGCTGCAGCAGCGGCAGTGACAGCGGCAGCGGCGAAAAGAGGCGGAGAAAGTCCCCAGGAGGAGGCGGCGGCGGCAGCGGCAACGACAACAACCAGGCGGCGACAAAGAGTCCCCGGAAGGCGGCAGCGGCTGCTGCCCGTCTTAATCGGCTGAAGAAGAAGGAGTACGTGATGGGGCTGGAAAGTCGAGTCCGGGGTCTGGCAGCCGAGAACCAGGAGTTGCGGGCCGAGAATCGGGAGCTGGGCAAGCGCGTGCAGGCACTGCAGGAGGAGAGTCGCTACCTACGGGCCGTCTTAGCCAACGAGACCGGACTGGCTCGCTTGCTGAGCCGGCTGAGCGGCGTGGGACTGCGGCTGACCACCTCGCTCTTCAGAGACTCGCCCGCCGGTGACCATGACTACGCTCTGCCCGTGGGAAAGCAGCAGCAGGACCTGCTGGAAGAGGACGACTCAGCGGGAGGAGTATGTCTTCATGTGGACAAGGATAAGGTGTCGGTGGAGTTCTGCTCGGCGTGCGCCCGGAAGGCGTCGTCTTCTCTTAAAATGTAGGGTCAAGTAATCTGCTCTTTATCCGCGTTTACCCCTTTCAACTCCCTTACACCATGTAAAACACTTTAGTGGGACATCTTCACTGGACATATTTCAGAGGAGGAAAAAGTAATATTGAATCTTTAAGTGTTTAGCTAAAAGCATGAATGTGACACTGTAACCAACTCCTAATGATAACATGTGACTATTAAATCTCTCTGACAGTTTCTTTTTTAGGTGATTTCCTTCCTGCCAGGCTCCGTTGTAGGGGTTACAGAACAGTCGTTCCCGCCTCACAACCTGGTAAGGATCCATCTCTTCACGTAACGCTCATGCTCTGCTGCTTAGTCTACTTTAATGGGCAACATCTCAATTTGTGTGTGTGTGGGGTTTTTTTTTTTTTCTTTTTTGGGACGTGGGAGGGGAAATCTAATTTGGGCCCTGTCCACCCTGGAAACAGACTTGTGCTGGTCAATAATGTATTTAAGATGCTTCTTCTGGTTGAAATAGCTGTTAATGTGTCCCCTTGTTCAGACTTGCGTGTACCTAGCTCTTCTGTCCCCAGTGTGGACATGGCCTTGGATGACATCGGTTCCAACTGTACACTGAAAGCTGCTAATAGAGATGCAGTTTGGAGACAGTGAAACAGGTGAAGTTGAATGGAAGTTCCGAGTTGTACAAGGTGCAAATTGGAATTCCAATTTTAGAGCAACTTTTTAGAGGTTGACAATAAGTATTTGGGGCTTGCACAAATGTGATAGTTATTTTGCTGGAGATGACAGAACTATTTTAAATATTTGGGTATGCCTTTTAGTTTTCAGTAGGAGATGTAGAAATACAATCTATTTAGAGTAAAATATTTTAATATCTCACTATTAAAGAAGTTGGAAATTAACATGCATCTCTATGTTAATTGGAGGAATAAGAATTGTTAATGAAATGTTTCTTTGAGGACCAGCACAGTGATTACCCTATCACTGACTATAAAAAATTGTTGAACACTTTTACTTTTGTTGTATTAAAATTTTAGGTTAAATTTATGTATGATTAGATATTGAAGGTTGTGAAATGTGAATGAAAACGTGTAAAGTGAGGCTTCACAAAGAATCTTACTCTCCTTATTTCAAAAGTTTTTGTCCTACTTAAAAATAATTTTAAAAAATGAGTGCTTCTGGCTAAAGACAAAATTGACACTTTTTCCAAAGATGGGACATATTCTTCGCTTGAAGTACTGTATTATTCATTGTCCAATTGTATAGATTGAGTTACAGTGGCCTTCAGTGTAAGAGGCATTAAATTCTTTGTGAAACATCACTGTTTGATAAAGTATATACATATTTAGCATCCTTGTTTTTCTTTGTGCTAAAGTGGATACAGCTGTTGGGGCAGAAGAGACGGGACCAGCTGCTGGCCACATTTCCTGCTTTATTTTAAAAGGTAGTATAAGAAATGAGGAAAAAGAGGTAATATCAGGGCTTCTGCTGTCTTTTATTTTAAAATGTTCATAATTAAAAACTATTTTCCAGCAGTCCAAAGATGTAAGTTATCTTAAACATGTTTTATTTTGTTGTTATTTGGTTATAAAAATGGAATCCTTGTTCTTGCACAACTGTAAATGTTTTGTTGCTAGATAACACGATTTGAGACCAACTTGGTCTCTGGTTTCCAGTGCATTACAGCATATTTTGTAAAATCATCTACTGCACTTGAGCATGAATGGGTAGTAGCCAAATTCACAACCTGGAGTGATTAACCTGCTTATACCTAAGTGCAGGAGCAAGCCCCTCACAATGCAGCTGCATGGATTTTTAGTGCCTACTGAATTATATATATATATATATATATAAAAACCAAAAGTAGTTGGAAAAATTATTTGAAATGACTAATTTGTGCTATCTCTATGGAATATGTTAAATGTAGCTTTTTGAAACAGAAGCCTTGAATTGAAATTAATACTTGAACATTTTGTATATATTTCTTTGTATATAATTTTGTGCAGTACCAATGACAAAAATATGGTGTCATAATAAAACCAGGTTTGTTGATCTTTCAGTTATGGGCTCAAAGAATTTATTCATCTCTAACATGACATTGGAAAATAATGGATGAAAATAGGAAAAATGATTGTTGTTAATGCTGACTGTGGGTCTTAAAAGGTTCTGGAAGCAGTAAGTGTGTTTTTCTAAAATACCATTCCCTTGGAATATTTTCTTCTAATGTCAGTGCTTTTCCTGCATTATTTGAAGTTCGGGGCTGGAGAGAAACAGTAGTCAAAGCTTTCTGAATTGGGATGCTTTGAAAATTCCAAGTGTAGATTTTTAGGATGTCATTTTATAAATGGCAGTTTTTGGAAATACTTGATTAAGAACTTTTGAAAATGGAGATTAGTATCGCCTATTTTTAAAGCTGCTTTGTTAGGCTCCTTATGTTTTAACTGTCTTTTCTTAGTTTCCATTTCATTTTTTTTTTCTTTTCTAATTTTGGTGACTTAGTGATTTTGTCATTTTTTGCATCAACTTCATGGTCTTGTTTTTACATGGTATTGCATGTATTTAGGACCTATCAGGGGCTTTAAATAAATTTGATCATATTTATGTGTAAGCACATTTTACTGTAAATGTTTGGGTTTCTGAATTTACAACAGATCTGTTTCAGTATGTAGTAAACAATATCTTAAAAGTGTCCTATTCACTACTTGTTAATTAAAAAAAGTTATGATTAATATGAAACTGTTGTCTTACTATTTTTAGAAAATTGTGTTCTGAATGATTAGTAGTTGGATAAAGGAGATTTCTGGAATATAATATGGATTGTTTTGAAATTTTAAGGTTTGGCTCTATTTATTGTAGAGGTTGAACACAGTATTTGGGGAACCTTTTTTTTTTCTTCCCTAATTGCCTCTATGGCAAAATGATACAGAATTAGTGTAAAGAGGTAGCTTTTTGATATTGGTCTTCTGATGGTGACAGGAATTCATACATTAATTGAACTAACACATCATATTGACCGCCTATTTCTGTCATATTGACTTAACTGTTTCTGCACTTTCTTGACCAGTCCTAACTAAAAAGTCCACGTTTGTTAAAATGTAGTCACACCTCTGATATAATCCGACAAAAAGTGTTCGAAGTATTTTAAATATTTGTGCATTTTGTAATCACTAAATTAATCTCTCTCTCTTCTCTTTAAACAGCTTAGCAGTGTCTGCAAAAACGAATCTTTTCCTACAACCTGTTAACTGACTGGACTGATGGTAACAAAGTAATTGTGGGAGCCATGTCGGTCAAAAATTTGGCATCTGCTGAAAAAAATGAATGCCATTTTCAAGTTCCCAAATTACTTCTATACTGATTTCACTTTCCAGAAATGGAGATATGAAAAGATTCTCTGGAATCCTTGAAAGACTTAATAGAAATACATGAGACTAAGTTAATTTTGGAACAGAATTATACTTTTTTTTTTCTTTTGTCTTTCATGGGAGTGATGATCAGTTCTTTGCATAACTTTCAAAAATTGTAACCATTTGAGAAGAGAATTATAGTATTTCATCAAGGAATATTAGACTCTTTACATAGTCAAGAACACATTCTATGGAATTACATTTAGTGGTGTAGTATTACATAAACAGGCCATCAGGGATCACAGAGCATATCATGAGTTTGTATTTATTTCCTGGAACTTGAGAGCCAATCTGAAGTATAGGCAGACCTTGCTGAGTAGAATATAAAAGTTAATGTAAAGTCCGTAGTCTTTTTAACAGATGCATTGATTTGTGTATCTTTGAAAAAATTATGATTAAATATGTGAGTAGTTAAATTGCAATTCAGGGTAATAGGATGTTTGCACTCTGAGGTTTGGCTTCTTGAGTTTTCTCTGAGTACTTGACACTTTTTGACTATTGAGGTTTCTTATGAATGGTATCCTAGTTTCTAATGTTATATATTAAATGTCTCTAGTGTTATGTAAGGGCTTTAGTATTCTGGACGATGGGAGTGGTTTTTTTTCCACATAATATGGTTGTTTTACTTACTTGAAACATTTTTCCAGTTTATTACAAGTGTGAAAAAACACTCAACTCTGGATTGTTTTATTTCATTTTTGTTGGATTATGTTAATACATTCTTTCATCTGGTCTAGACTGAGTCATTTTATCTTATTGACTCATTGGGAAGTTTGCAGATCAGAGAGGTGGGAGGGGTAGGAGATCGGCCCAGGATGATTTATCATAATAACTACAAATAACAGTTTGGTTATTGTATGATATTAAATCCACTCTGTTTCTTGTAATCTAAATTTAGTCTGTGTCTGTGATGTGAGGCAGCAAAGGGCATGCCCAGTGGCTTATACTTGACTGATGGATGCTCCCATGGTACAAACGCTATAGCTGGTTGTAATTCCCCAACCAAAGATTTGGCATTAATACTAGTTGGTGACGATTAAGAACAGAGTGATTCACTGATAATGAGTAATTACCTTTAAAAATATGTGATCACCTAGTTTAGCATTTGGAAGTACTAGTTTAAGGTCTCACTAATTTAGTAAGATTTTTAAGCTAACTAATCTGATTCTTGAAAGTTGAATAGGTAGTAAAATACTTTCAAGTGTTTTTTTTCCCCCACACTCCTCAAAGTTTTGAGACCCTCCCAAATGTTTATATTTCTGTATTTTACTGTGCAGTTTTTTCTTCAGAAACCAGGTAGTTACCATCCAAGCTAGGGATCAAAACGGGGAGGTCTTCCATTAGAAACTTGTAGAACGTTTTGTGTGGCCACAGTATTTTTCGCATATTTGAACTTGACTGTCTCAGTCCTCTCTCTGGCAGTCACTTGTTACTGCCTTACAATACCAGACTGCTCTCAGCTCTGACCTAGACTACAAGTGGTCATTTACTTTCAGTTTTGAAATGCAGAAAAATTAAACCGGATATAATTTAAATTCAGAAAGTAAATAACTCATTAGGAATATAGATCATGCAATATTAGAGAAAAACAGATATTTAAAAAAATATATAGGTTAATAGAAAGTTGCTTGTGAACCTGCCTTTGCCTTTTTCATTGCTTTGGTTACTGGTAAGTTTTTTACTCCTTTTTACCTTTCCCTAATTTGTACATTCAAGATTTCTTAGAGCCATTTTCCCCACTTTTTAAAAGGAAACCAGTTTACAGTTGACTTCAATAATTTTTGTAGTTTTGTCGACCCGAAATAATTTTTGTTGAAAATTATTCTTAATTTTTAATCTAATTTAAAAATGTCTGTAATGGTGTTCTAAAAAATTGTGTAGTTGTGTTAATATGCATAGATTTGATTTTTATTGGTGGCCCAAGTTTTCTTTACACTGCCTTTGAATTTTGCATCTTTGCTGTATACCCACGGCGGTCAATTTCCTAGACCTCTCTGGCTTTTAATGTTCTATAGTTTGGGGTTTACAAATTATATTAATATCTGAAGTATAATATAATGAGTCCTCTTTCTTAGAGCCAGATAACTACACCAAGTAAATTGTAAAAGACGGATTTAAATAGTTTAGTACGACTGAACTAAAAAACTGCCTTCCTGAGGCAGTGTTCTTTAGGTCTTAGCTACAAATGACTGTTCCCTAAATTGTAACACAGATCACAGCAAGTTTACATGTATTTATCTGCCCCCAACCAAAAATTTTTGTAGACCTTGTAGCAACAGATGTAAAATAATACGGTCTTTGCTTACGTTGCCCATTTTTACTAATTGAAAAGATGATTTAAAAAGTACATGGTAGAGGACAGATTCTTGAAAGGAATTCTTTTTGGTTACAGAAACCATTGCAAACTTCTATTTATAGAAGGTATTATGCTAGAATGTGTCAGGATAAGAAAACAATTTGTAGGGCGCCTGGGTGGCTCAGTGGGTTAAGCGACTGCCTTCGGCTCAGGTCATGATCCTGGAGTCCTGGGATGGAGTCCCATATCAGGCTCCCAGCTCAGTGGGGAGCCTGCTTCTCCCTCTGACTCTCTCCCCTCTCATGCTGTTTCTCGCTCGCTCGCTCTCTAATAAATAAATAAAATCTTAAAAAAAAATTTGTACTGAATTACCAATTCAGTTATATCAGTGGCTTTTGAATTATCTAAGTTGATAGCACCATTCTCCTTTTTTTAAGGAGTTTAATCGAGTAATTTGGGTTTATTTTTGAAGTCAGGAACTACTTTTAATTCATTTTCTTCTCTGCTGTGATAAGTAGAACTCTCCTTTAAATAAAAATGATAGAATGTAAATAGAAGTGTGTAATTTTGGGTCAGAGAGTATATTCCTTATAGAAAGCAGAAAATTCAGAAAGAAATCAAAACAAAAAGAAAAATCACCCCTAATTCTGTAACCCAGAGAATATTCATGGCAAAATATAGATTCTTTTGCCTCATAATTGGGATCATTTCATATATAAGTTTGCTAGGGAATACATTTCCAGGCACTTGCTGAACATCAGCTTTGCTTTCTGAAAAATTTAAAATGTATTTTGTTAATTTCATTTGAATTTTAAAATCTTTAGCTGGACTACTTTCTCTTTGAAGAGACCCTGAAAGCCTGTCTTCACTCACGAGGCTGCCTTTTCTAGGTGACAAGCTAAATTCTCCTTTCATATAATTATGAAATTATATAGCATAAGATTATTTAACAAATATGTCACTATATTTGAAAGGGATAATTAATTAAGATGCTTGTGAATATGATCTGGGATGGTACTTAACTGTATTTGGTATGACTGGCTTATTTCATAAAGTATTGGTCTAGATCTATATTGTTCATTACTGTAGCCATCAGCCACATGCGGCTAAAAAATTTAAATTAATTTTAAATTCATGTAGCCAGTTGGACTACTTACATTTCAGGTGCGCAGTAGCCACATACGGCTAGTAGCTAACATTGTCAGTCATGTATAAAACATTTCCATCATCACACAAAGTTCTGTTGGACAATGCTGATTTAGATGCTGTCACATAAGACAACGGTTTGAAGAACTGAGTTGAAAAGTTTTACGACGGGGAACACAAAAGGTCACTTCAAAAATTTAAATGATCTGTCTTAGGAAATGAGGAATATCAGACTAGGCTATTTTAGAAAACAAAACCAGGAACAATAGAAGAGTATAGCTACCATTTATGTCAGGTGCTGTGTTAGTCGACTTCCATATATTATGTAATATCAGTCCTGAGTTAGGTTACTGATGAAGAAACTGAGAACCAGAGAAAAGAGGTTAACTTGCTTAACATCACACAGCTGAAAAGAAGAGGCCTAGGTATGTGATCCCAAAGAACTCTCCCACACTAAATGGAAGCTTCAAAGGTAGAATTTGCCTCAATCTTCCAAGAATATAGCTTTCCAAAGACAAGAGGACTCCAGAAGTAGGTAACTATATCATTGTATCACTGTATCAGTCAGTATATGGGCTCTAGCTGAGCCTATCATCTTTCAGACTACTGGAATTGATTCCTCTCTGAGGAAGGTTGTTAAATATGTTCTAAATTTCTATGGATTAGTAATACCTATGGAAACAGTGAATTGGGAAAATGAAGTGAACATTTGCTGTAGTGAACTAATTCTCATCTCCACCTCCCATTTTCATTCCTGCTTGGGTTCTTTATGAGGTCTTAAGTAAAAACTGCTGTATGGTATTTTTCCTGTTACAGACCAAAATATGGTTTAATAT